TCACACAGGTGAGAAACCATATGAATGTAAAGAATGTTGGAAATCTTTTTATAGTAAATCATACCTCATTGTCCATCAGAGAATTCACACAGGTAAGAAACCATATAACTGTAATGATTGTGGGTAGGGGGTTGACGAAAAGTCAGCCCTCATTAGACATGAACTAATTCACACAGGTCAGAAGACATATGAATGTAAGGAATGTGGGAAAAGTTTCTACAGCAAATCACACCTCAGCAGGCATCAGAGAATACACCCATGTGAGAAATCGTGTGCATGTAGTAAAATGTTCTGCTGTAAATCAGACCTTGATATATATCAGATAACTCACACAGGTGACAAACTCTATGGATGGAAAAGTCTTTCAGCAGGTCTGACCTCACAATATGTAAGAGAATTCACGCAGGAGTAAAACCCTATGAATGTAATGAATGTGGAAAAACTTCTTACCATAAATCAAACCTTAATGTACATCACAGAATTCATATGCATGAGAAACCATATGGATGTAATTATTGTGGGAGGAGGTTTTGGCAGAAGTCAGCCCTCATTAGACATGAGAGAAACCACACAGTGGGGAAAAACCTGTGAATGTAATGAGTTTGGGAAAACCTTTGCCAGAAAACACACTAAAAGATGCATTAGAAAATTCACACCCTATAAATGTGCAGATGTCCCTCAATACCCACAGGAGATTTGTTCCTGGATCCCTATCAGATACCCAAATTTGCAGATGATCAAGTGCCTGTATAAAGTGGTGTATTATTTGGGTTTTGCCTAAGTACTTCCTGCCATATGCTTTAAAACTTATCTCAATTATTTATAATAATGAGTACAATGTAAAAACTATGTAAATATTTGTGATACTGTTCTCTTAGTTTTACTTGCATTGCTGTATTATTATTTTTTACTTCTTTTTGTGTTTTTGATTCACACTTGATTGAACTAGTGGATATGGAACCTGTGAATATTGAAAGCCAACTGTAATGAACGTGGAAACATCTTTTGTCATAAGTCACACCACAATAGTCATCAGAGAATGTGCACAACAGAGAAGTCCTGTATGGCAGAAACTGGCTGTGTGTTTTTGCCGATCCACTATCTTTGCTTTTGTACACACAGTTTGCCTGCATACTCAGCCTCCAGTTACTGTGGGTGGGACCACATAGCTGAGCTCCGTTGAGGTGAATCTGTATACAATTGATGAACATTACTTTCAGGACTGGAAAAAAGAAAAAAAGTCCCATGCAGGTTTTCCTGACTTTTCATGCTGTCTGGGATTGAAGTGCTGGTGACCCACATGGTGGACTTGGGAGACATCGGTGGGAGAAGGCCAACATGACTTAACACAGAACAAATTGATTGTAGAAAGTTGAGATCATCCCATACCTCTGTCCCAAAACCTCTATTTGTGCTTTACATTAGTGAGAAATAAATACTGTGTTGAGCCATTTTATGTGTGATCTGATTGTGTTAAAACCAGCCCATTGAAGCTAATTTAGTTTATGAACTTTCTGAGAGAAGTTT